CAGCACCAGCACCCTCAGCGACAGCACCAGCGCCACCCACACCTCCAGCGGCAGGACCAACCGCAGCAGGCTCAGCACGAACGCCCTCAGCAGCTCCAGCTCCAGGAGGACCTGCAGGGCCAGCAGCTCCGGGACCGGCTGCACCCGCACCCACGACGGTCGAAGAAGCTCCAGCTCCAGCTCCAGCAGCACCTCCAGACTCAGCAGCACGCCTCCAGCGGCGAGCGAACCACTCGCGCAGCTCCTGTGGAGAGAGGGGCTCCCGGCGAGACGCAGCAGCAGGAGAAACCCCAGGCTCAGCAGCTCCAGACGCAGCACCCCCAGGCTCAGCAGCTCCCAGCTCAGCACCCCCAGGCTCAGCAGCTCCCGACCCAGCACCCCCAGACCCAGCACCTCCAGGCACAGCACCCCCCGGCTCAGCACCCCCAGGCTCCGCACCCTCCGCAGTAGCACCCTCAGGCCCAGCACCCCCAGCAGTAGCACCCCCAGGCTCAGCACCCCCGCGCACAGCACCCCCAGAGTCAGCACCCCCAGGCTCAGCACCCGCAGCAGCACCAGAGTCACCAGTAACCTCGACCGGGTCAACGGCGTCTACCTGGGACACACCTGAGGGGGCAGGAACCTGAGGGGGGAGGGGGTCTACCGGGGGGGGAACCGGCACAAGGAAGTCCGGGGGAGGGGGGAGGGAAGGAGTGCGGTAGGGGAAGAGACGGTAGAAGGGGACTGACTCGTCGAACGTGACGTCCTGGGAGGACAGAACACGACGAGAGGAGGGGTGGTAAAACTGCCACCCTGGGGCGTCAGTGGGGAAGCCAAGGAAGACACAGGGAGCAGCACGAGGGGACAACTTGTCCGCAGACAAGTCGCGGACAAACGCCCGAGATCCCCAGACACGGAACACAGACGCATCGCCAACCTTCCCCGTCCACAGCAAGGCTGGGGACATCGCTGGCCGAGAGACCCGGGGGTGAAGGTTGAGCTGATGCGCCGCGTACCTCACCGCAAACGGCCACAGAAAATGGGGGGCAGCCGCATGCATCATGGACGTACGAGCGACATCCATGACCATGCCAATGCGGCGCTCAGCAATCCCATTTTGCTGTGGTGAGTCCGGAAGCGTGAAGGTCTGGCGGATCCCCCGTGCACGACAGTAGTCTCGCAGAAGGCGAGAAGAGAACTCTCCGCCTCTGTCAGAGTGCAGACGCAGAACAGGAAAGTCCGAGCCGAAGCTCTTCCTGAGCTGGAGACGAGCCTCCCGGATCCAGTCGATCAGCACCTCAGTGACCGCACCCTTGCTGCGCAAGGGGAGGACTGTGGTGTAACGCGAGTAGTCGTCAACCACCAACAGGAAGTATCGCTCGTAACCCTGCCCACGGACGGGGGCAGGGCCCCACACATCCATGTGAAGCGTCTGCAGGGGAGCCTCTGTCGGGGGGAAGTGGGAGGAGTGAGGAGTAGCCCGGAGGCGACCCTCGACACAGGGGACACAGGAAGGTCCTGGCCCGGAGGGGAGAGGAGGGAGAGACTGGGGAAGACCAGAGACAAGGACACGGGAAGCCATGCTCCGAAGACGGGGCAAGGAGGGGTGGCCAAGACGGTGGTGCCACAGGAGAGTCTCGTGAGACAGGAGGCGACAAGAACAGGGGGCAGACTCAGGACCTGACCGGGACGCAGCAGCAAGTACCTGACCCGACGCAGCCACCTGACCAGACGCAGGGACAGGAGGAGACTCAACGGTCAGGGTGTAGAGACTCGACCCCGGCCGACGTGAGAACGTGGCCAGGTGTCGGCCTGTGCGAGCCTCCGTGCAGTGGGTCACCCTCTGACGCGCAGGAGTGAACTGGTGAACACCCCCATCCTGCAGGTCCGCTCCACTCACCAAGTTCGTAGAGAACGAGGGAAGGTACAGACCCGACAGGGTGCCCGAAGGGGCAGCCGGACACGGGAGGACAGTGGAGAAGTGAGACAGGACAGGACCCCCAGAGGGGTCAGCAAGGGAGACCGCAACCGGCCTGGCGAGCGGCGAAAGGGTAGTGCGGTCTCGAAAGAAGGAGCGAGAAGCTCCGGAGTCAAGTGTGAAAGTGAGGGAGGACGAGGACGACTCAGTACCTGAGAGCGCAGTCTCACCAGTACCTGAGAGCGCAGACGCACTGGCACCTAGAGCAGCAGCCTCACAAGCACCTAGCGCAGCAGTACCAATGCCCGGGTCGGGCTGAAAACACCGGTAACCCTCATTCTCCTCACTATAATCCACAACATACATAGCAGTAAGGATAGCATCAAAATCAAGATCAAAGATCGCTACACCAGCCCTGAGAAGCTCATCCCAGCGAGGGATCTCACTAGCCCCAGGGAACTGCTGACGCCAAGCGTCCGTCAGGCGGCCAAAGCAGCGCTGGGTGGCGTGGGCACCCCCACACTGCTCACCCGCGCGGTCGCCGGAACGAAGAACGTAGGTGCAGGGACCAGTACCCCCACCCCTCTGATGCCCAGCGTACCACTCACGAAGCTGCTGAGGCGAAGGGATGTCCCGCGAGCGCTGCTGTTGCTGCCGGTGCGAGCGCTGGCCACCACCACCGCCGCTACGCTGCTGGGTACCACCCCGACCAGCTCCACCTCCTCCACCACTACTGCCTCCTCCGCTGCCGCCTCCACTGCCTCCACCTCCGCCGCCTCCACCTCCGCCGCTGCCTCCACCACCACCGCTGGCACCACCACCACCGTCTCCGCCGCTGCTGCCGCCACCACCACCACCACCCCCGCCACTAGCCCCGCCGCCACCCCCACTCCCTCCGCCGCCACCGCCGCCACCGCCACCGCCCCCTCCAGCTCCACCCGCGCCCTTGCCCCCCTTGCCCTTGCTGGAGCGACGTCTCCCACTAGGGGCAGACGCCGCGCCGACCGACTCAAGACCAAGCAGGTCGGCAGCAGCAGCAGAGGCAACAGAGGGCAGTAAGGGGGAAGGAGAGCACCCCTCAAAGATGGGGGTGCGAGGGTCACCACGAGAAGCACCTACAGCGACTATGCTCTTCTCCGCTGCAAGGAGGGCCTTCTCGAGGAGGTCGACGGTGAGAGTGGTGGGACAGACTGCGAGAAAGTGGTCCCTGACGACGCGAAGGGAGTCAGGGAGGCGTGCGACTACGTAGTAGAGAGCGATGTACATGGGGGGGGGGTTCTTAGCGCAGAACTCAGCAGGAAGGGCGGCGCGGTAGCGAGTGTCACTAGTGCGGAGGTGCGTAATGAGGTCAGCGACAGTGGGAAAGGCAGAGAGGTCAGGAAAGAGGTAGGGAAGCATGAGACGGCTCAGTGCAGCAGTGGCAGGGGAGGAGTAGCGCGCAACTACAGCGTCGTACAAGGTCTGAGCACTCTTGTACTGACTAAAGTGCGCACGCTCAGAGGTAGGGAGGTGGCGACGCACAGCAAGACGTGCAGCAGCATCGCGGGTGGCCCACTTAGAGCGGACAGCGGGATCAGCATCAGCAGCAGGGGCAGGAGAGGCGCCAGAGGTGAGGTCAAAGAGAGAAAGGTCGTCAGCCCTGTCGCACTGTAAGAACAGCTGCAGGTCGTCTAACCAGACCTCAAAATCAATGGCGCGACCCTCAGCGTCAAAAGCTAGGACACTAGGGGTAGCCATGGTGACGACAGCGACGCAGTGCAAGCAGTGGGGAAAGAGCTCGCAGTGTCAGTGGGACAGTGCTCACCAGGCAGGGCAGGTCGTGCAGTCAGCAGAAAGGCGGCTCAGCGACCGGGCGGCTCGGGTGCACAGCTGCTCGGCTCCCGGGCGGCTCGGCGGCTGGGCGGCTCGGGCGCAGGGCGGCTCGGCTCCCGGGCGGCTCGGCGGCTGGGCAGCTAGGGTGCAGGGCGGCTCGGCTCCCGGGCGGCTCGGCGGCTGGGCGGCTCGGGTGCAGGGCGGCTCGGCTCCCGGGCGGCTCGGCGGCAGGGCGGCTCGGGTCCCGGGCGGCTCGGCTGCTGGGGCGGCTCGGCCGGGAGATGCAGCGTCGGGCCGGCAGGTGCAGCGTCGGGCCGGCAGGTGCAGCGGCGGGCCGGCAGGTGCAAGTGGCGGGCCGTAAGAGGCGGCGGGCCGATGGGTGCAGCGGCGGGCCGGTAGGTGCAGCGGCGGGCCGGCAGGAGCAGCGGCGGGCCGGCAGGGTGCAGTGGCGGGCCGGCAGGAGCAGCGACGGGCCGGCAGGGTGCAGCGGCGGGCCGTAGAGTGCAGCGGCGGGGCCGTCGGCAGCAGAGGCGGGGCCGCGTCAGAGGAGGCGGCGTGGCCGCGTCAGGGGAGGCGGCGGGGCCGCGTCAATGGAGGCGGCGGGGCCGCGTCAGGGGAGGCGGCGGAGTCGCGTCAGGGGAGGCGGCGGGGCCTCGTCAGGGGAGGCGGCGGGGCCGCGTCAGGGGAGGCGGCGGGGCCGCGTCAAGGGAGGCGGCGGGGCCGCGTCAAGGGAGGCGGCAGGGCCGCGTCAGGGGAGGCGGCGGGGCCGCGTCAGGGGAGGCGGCGAGGCCGCGTCAAGGGAGGCGGCGGGGCAGCGTCAAGGGAGGCGGCGGGGCCGCGTTAAAAGAGGCGGCGGGGCCGCGTCAAGGGAGGCGGCTGGGCCGCGTCAGGGGAGGCGGCAAAGCCGCGTCAGAGGAGGCGGCGGGGCCGCGAGTGAAAAGGCGACCCGAGGGGTCGCTAAAAGAAAGGCGCGCCTCGGGGCGCGCGTCGGTGGGCCCAAACAACGGTCCTAAGGTAGGACCCGCTCTATACCATGTGAAAATAGGAAAACAGGAATGAATGAACTATGAATGAAAGCAGTACAAATATGAAACCCTAAATGGGTTGTACCCCCTATGGGATACCCCACTACAGCCTACACAGCAGTATAAGCTATAGATATGTTCTGACACTCACTTCATTTCGTGCTCAAGGAGGTTGAATACTCGTCTCAACCTTGCTCTCGGCAGGCTCTCTAACCATGCGCAGCAAAGTACCAGTAGGCAAGTCCTCACCTCGTCCTCACGTGCAGATGAATAACCACGGGCGAATTAACTCGCCTGGCAATGACATCCGTGTAGCCATGGCGAAGAACGCGAGCAAGGCGGGAAGTCCTACCGCCGCCTCCGGTGCGAGCTGTGACGGGGACGATGGAGACGAAGCGAACGCCGACGACGCCGAGGAGGATTGGCCGGAGAACGGCCACGATGACAGCGCTTCAGGGGACGAATTAGGTCCTGCCGACATCGAGGAGGACGACTGGTGGAATCGGCCGGTCGAGAGCGACGACGAGGTGGAAGAGTGGCGGGCTGGTGATTCCGACAACGACCGAGCGCGCTACGCCAGGTGGTTCATGCGTGAAGGGATTCACCTGAAGACGAAGAAGGGTGAGTTGGTCCTTCATTTACGGTTTTATGCCTGTTCTGTTTCCTGTCCTTGTCATAAACATGCTCCTTCATATCCGTGTCTCTAACATCTCGCTGCCTCGCCCTCTGTCCCACCCGCAGGGAACCTGCGGAGGCCTCTGCACCCCGTGGTGCTGCAGTGGATCGTGGAGGCTTGGGATCAAGTCCCCAAGCAGATCATCATCGACGCGTTCCGCCACTGTGGGATCTCAAGCAAGCTGGACAGAACGGAGAACCACTTGGTGATGTCTCACCTGCGCGCCAGGAGCACCACCGATATCTCCGCGGACATGTCCCTCGGGGGGACCACAGGCGACAACACGCGCCTGCTCGGTCGGGCTCCAGAGGAGGAGGAGGAGGAGGCGATGCAGGCGGAGGGCGTGCGGGAGGTGGCCATGGCAACCGGCCTGGAGGTGCTGTACCAGGAGACCCCCAACTACCGCGGAGCGGTGGCCGAGGCTGACCACATGATCGAGCCCAGGGAGACGGCTAGGCATGCCTGGCGAGTGCCAGACCTGGGTGTAGAGCCTGTTGTTAGTGCAGGTGAGGAGGCGGTGACTGAGGGGGGTTAGGTAGAAGTAGAGATTTATGACTGTATGCATGTACCCCCGTAAAGTAAGGAAATCTCGTTTTGAAGACACCCCCTGTTTATAAGAAAACCCCTAAACCCTGCTTTTGATTATAAGACATATATGTCTTCTCTCGTACACATAAATAGGTGTCGTATAAAAAGGCTAGCCTGTTTATAAGAGACACCCGTATACTAGACAACCACTGTCTACTATTCAACACTGTCTTATATCCGGGCGATGACGGTAGTCGTTGAGGTTCGTTGCTCTTTGGTTGAACACCTGGTAGTACTCATAATCGGCCTACTCCCTTGCGTAAGTATAAAGCGCTACCAAGTGCGACAACAGCGAGTTCCCCAAACGACGTTTTTTATGGCAACCCAGGAGGAAAGTAGAACGAGAATGAATGACTAAGGAATGGAAGTGATACAAATATGCAACCCTAGAAATGTGTACCCCATATGGGCTACCCTGTCAGAACATATAGCTTTTGCATATTGTGTAGGCCATAGTGGGGTAGCCCACAAGGGGTACAACCCAATTAGGGTTAGTACTTGTACTCAGTTCATTCATAGTTCATTCATTCTCGTTCTCATTTTCTCATGGTATCGAGCAGGTTCCCCTGTAGGAACTGTGCCTAGGGCCCACCAAATTTCGATTTTTTTTCCTGCCCGAAGCGCGCTCCGCCCGAGTCGCGCTCTCACCTCGTCGAGCCGCCCTAGCGGCTCCTACGCCCTAGCGGCCCTCCCTACCTTAGCGGCCCCGTCGCCCGTTCGTGCGGCCCCGCCACCTACTAGCGTGGCCCCGCCACCCGCATTCGCGGCCCCGCCGCCCTAGTCGCGACCCCGCCGCCCTAACTGCGGCCTCGCAACCCTACTCCTGCGGCCCCGCTGCCCTACTTCGCGGCCCCGCCGCCCTACGTCGCCGCCCTGCCGCCCTACTCTACGGCCTCGCCGCCCTACTCCTGCGGCCCTGCCGCCCTCCTTCACGGGCCCCGCCGCCCTGTTCAGCGGCCCCGCCGCCCCACTTCGCGGCCCCGCCGCCCCACTTCGCGGCCCCGCCGCCCTGCTTCAGCGGCCCCGCCGCCCGTCTGCTGCGGCCCCACCGCCCCACTTTGCGGCCCCGCCGCCCTTCTTCAGCGGCCCCGCCGCCCGTCTGCTGCGGCCCCGCCGCCCCACTTCGCGGCCCCGCCGCCCCACTTCGCGGCCCCGCCGCCCTACTTCAACGGGCCCCGTCGCCCTACTTCAGCGGCCCCGCCGCCCTACGTCTGCGGCCCCGCCGCCCGTCTGCTGCGGCCCCGCCGCCCTACGTCTGCGGCCCCGCCGCCCGTCTGCTGCGGCCCCGCCGCCCTACACCTGTGGCCCCGCCGCCCTACTTCAAGGGCCCCGTCGCCCTACTTCACCGGCCCCACCGCCCTACGTCAACGGGCCCCGCCGCCCGTCTGCTGCGGCCTCGCCGCTCTCCCCTCCTGCAGCAGCGCGCCCGAGCCGCCGACCGCCGCGCCGCCCTGTACCAGAGGAGCCGAGCCGCCCTGCCGCCGAGCCGCCCGGTCGCCCACCAGCCGAGCCACCCAGCAGCCGAGCCGCCCCGCAGCCGAGCCGCCGAGCCGCCCAGCAGCCGAGCCGCCCTACAGTTGAGCCGCCCGAGCATCCCTGTCCGGTGAGCACAGCCTCTCTGTCACTGCGTGCCCTTCCCCTACTGCTTGCACTGCTAGTCTACCGTCGTCATGGCTACCCCTAGTGTCCTCGCTTTTGACGCTGAGGGTCGAGCCATTGACTTTGAGGTCTGGGTCGACGACCTGCAGCTGTTCTTACAGTGCGATAGGGCGGACGATCTTTCTCTCTTTGACCTCACCTCTGGCGCCTCTCCTGCCCCTGCTGCTGATGCTGACCCCACTGTTCGCTCTCAGTGGGCCACCCGCGATGCTGCTGCACGTCTTGCTGTGCGTCGCCACCTGCCTACCACTGAGCGCACGCACTTTAGTCAGTACAAGAGTGCTCAGACCTTGTACGACGCTGTAGTTGCGCGCTACTCTTCCCCTGCCACTGCTGCACTGAGCCGCCTCATGCTACCGTACCTCTTCCCTGACCTTGCTGCATTTCCCACAGTTGCTGACCTCATTACGCACCTCCGCACCAGTGACACTCGCTACCGCGCCGCGCTGCCTGCTGAGTTCTGCGCCAAGAACCCCCCCCCCCCATGTACATCAATCTCTATTACATAGTCACCCGCCTCCCTGACTCCCTTCGCGTAGTCAGGGACCATTTTCTCTCAGTCTGTCCCACCACTCTCACTGTTGACCTCCTAGAGAAGGCCCTCCTAGCAGCGGAGAAGGGCATAGTCGCTGTAGGAGCCTCTCGTGGTGACCCTCGCACTCCCATCTTTGAGGGGTGTTCCCCTTCCCCCCTGTTGCCCTCTGTCGCCTCTGCTGCTGCGGCCGACCTACTTGGTCTTGAGTCGGTCGGTGCGGCGTCTGCCCCTAGCGGGAGACGCCGCTCTGGCAAGGGCAAGGGGGGCAAGGGCGCGGGTGGAGCTAGCGGGGGTGGTGGAGGTGGCGGTGGAGGCGGCGGAGGGAGTGGGGGTGGCGGTGGGAGTGGTGGCGGAGGTGGTGGTGGTGGTGGCGGCAGTGGAGGCGGAGGCGGCGGCGGCGGTAGCGGTGGGAGCGGAGGTGGCGGTGGTGGCGGCGGTGGAGGCGGCGGTGGCGGAGGAGGTGGAGCTGGTTGGGGTGGTGCCTCGCAGCGGAGCGGCTCTGGTGGTGGTCAGCGCCAGCAGCAGCAGCAGCAGCAGCGTTCTCGGGACATCCCCCCCCCTCAGCAGCTCCGTGAGTGATACACGCAGCGTCAGTGTGGTGGGGGTTTTGGTCCGTGCACCTACGTCCTTCGCTCCGGCGACCGCGCGGGTGAGCATTGTGGGGGTGCCCACCCCAACCAGCGCTGCTTTGGCCGCCTGACGGACGCTTGGCGTCAGCAGTTCCCCGAGGCTAGTGAGATCCCCCGCTGGGGAGAGCTGTCTAGGGCAGGCGTAGCTATCTATGATCTTGACTTTGATGCTATCCTTGCTGCCATGGATGCTGTGACTATTAGTGATGAGGGTGACTGTTACCGGTGTTTCCCACCCGACCCGGGCATAGGTACTGCTGCGCTAGGTGCTTGTGAGGCTGCTGCTCTGGGTGCCAGCGCGTCTGCGCCCTCAGGTACTGGTGAGGCTGCGCTCTCAGGTACCGCGTCGGCTTCGGCCTCCCTCACCTTCACGCTTGACTCGGGGGCTTCTCGCTCCTTCTTTCGAGACCGCACCACACTCACGCCGCTTGGTCGGCCGGTTGCAGTCTCCCTGGCTGACCCCTCTGGGGGTCCTGTCCTCTCTCACTTCTCCACTGTCCTCCCGTGTCTGGCTGCCCCCTCGGGCACCTTGTCTGGTCTGTACCTCCCCTCGTTCTCGACGAACTTGGTGAGTGGTGCTGACCTGCAGGATGCGGGGGTTCACCAGTTCACTCCTGCGAGTCAGCGGGTGACCCACTGCTCGGATGCCCGCACAGGCCGACACCTGGCCACGTTTTCACGCAGGCCGGGGTCGAGTCTCTACACCCTGACCACTGCGTCTACTCCTGTCTCTGCGTCTGGCCAGGTAGCTGCGTCGGGTCAGGTGTTTGCTGCTGCGTCCAGGTCTGGTCCTGAGTCTGCCCCCTGCTCGTGTCGCCTCCTGTCTCACGAGACTCTCCTGTGGCACCACCGTCTTGGTCACCCCTCCCTGCCTCGTCTTCGGGGCATGGCCTCCCGTGTCCTTGTCTCTGGTCTCCCCCTGTCCCTCCCTCCCCTTCCTTTGGGGCCTGGTCCTTCCTGTGTCCCCTGTGTCGAGGGGCGGCTCCGGGCTGCCCCTCACTCCTCTTAGTTTCCCCCGACAGAGGCTCTGCTGCAGACGCTTCACTTGGACGTGTGGGGCCCAGCCCGCGTCTGTGGACATGGTCACGAGCGCTACTTCCTGATGGTGGTTGACGACTACTCGCGTTACACCACAGTCTTCCCCTTGCGCAGCAAGGGTGATGTCACTGCGGTGTTGATCGACTGGATCAGCGCAGCTCGTCTCCAGTTCAGGAGGAGCTTCGGCTCAGACTTTCCTGTTCTGCGTCTGCACTCTGACCGAGGCGTAGAGTTCTCCTCTGGCCTTCTGCGAGCCTTCTGTCGTGCGCGAGGCATCCGCAAGACCTTCACGCTTCCGGACTCTCCACAGCAAAATGGGATTGCTGAGCGCCGCATTGGCATGGTCATGGACGTCGCTCGTACGTCCATGATGCATGCGGCTGCCCCCCATTTTCTCTGGCCGTTTGCGGTTTGGTACGCGGCGCATCAGATCAACCTTCACCCCAGGGTCTCCCGGCCGGAGACCTCCCCAGCTCTGCTGTGGACGGGGAAGGTCGGCGATGCGTCTGCGTTCCGTGTCTGGGGATCTCGGGCGTTTTTCCGCGACTTGTCTGCGGACAAGCTGTCCCCTCGTGCTGCTCCCTGTGCCTTCCTTGGCTTCCCCCCTGACGCACCAGGGTGGCAGTTCTACCACCCCTCCTCTCGTCGTGTTCTATCCTCCCAGGACGTCACGTGAGGTCAAGGGGTGAGCAAGTGAGGCAAGACAGGCACAAGACCCAGCTGAGTGCAGAAGTGCTGATGATCACAAGGCGGAAGTGCCTTGGTGAAAACATCAGCTGTGTTGGCCTCAGAGGCCACGTACGCAAGTCGCAACTGACCACGCTGCTGCAACTCACGAGCAAGAAAGTAGCGGAGAGCAATGTGCTTCGTTCTGTGCTCCAGGCGCTGCTCCCGACACAAGGCCAGCATGGCCTTGTTGTCTACGTACAGCACTGGAGGAGAACGAGGCGGCTCTCCGAGGTCAGTCAGCAGGTAGGTGAGCCAGCGAAGCTCCTGTGCAGCCATGGCCCCGGCGTAGATCTCAGCCTCACAACTGGAGCCGAGAACCGAAGACGAGCGAGTAGCCCGCCACGAAACAGAGCCGGA